TCCATCATCATGACGCTGCTTATTGGTCTAGCCGTAAGAATCTTTGTTTTCTTGATACTGAAACACCATCCATACTGAAGGCTGTATTCCTTGATCTTCTGCAACAAGTGCTTCAAACCCTCCTCACTTTGAAGCGGGTAAGGTTGTGTCATCTGCATAACGCAGGTTATTAATGAGTCTCCCTCCAATCCTGATGCCACACTCCTCCTCACAGAGTCCAGCTTCTTGGATAATTTGCTCAGCATACGGATTGAATAGGTATGGAGAAAGAATATAACCTTGGCGCACTCCCTTCCCAATTCTAAACCATGCAGTGCTCCCCTGCTCTGTTTTTCAATCTTCATAGAATATAGCTTTTCAGATTATTTGTTCAGTATGCAGATTGAATAAGTAAGGAGAAAGGAGACAACCCTCAGTCACATCTTTCCTGATTTTAGAGCATGCAGTGTTTCCTTCCTTGTTCTGTAGGGACAGCAGCTTCTTGGTCCAGGTAAAGGGTTCACATGAACACAATTAATTTTTCTGGGATTCCTATTCTTCTTACTGTCAGCCATAGTTTGCTATCATCCACACACAGTCAAATGACTTGGTGTAGTTAATACAGCACAAATAGACATTTTTCTAATATTCTCTGCTTTCAACCAGAATCCATCTAACATCAGCAGTGGTATCCCTCGTGGCGCAACTTCTTCTAAATCCAGCTTAAACTTCTGGAAGTTCTCAATGTACTGTTCGAGATGTCTGGGGATGATCTTCAGCAAGAGTTTGCTTGCATGTGATATTAATGATACTGCTCAATAATTTGCACATTCTGTTGGATTACCTTTCTTGGGAATGGGAACAAATAGGGATCTCTTCCAATTGGTCAGCCATAGCTGGGTAACACTAAAAAATTCAGGAATTACCATATGAACAAGAACCAATGATAATGAAGGAGGAAATTCAAGCTGAACTGAAGGCACTAGCAAAAACTAAGGCCTCAGGAATCGATGGAATACCAGCTGACAAATTTTCCTTGAACTGGCACCCTAAATATAGCCTTCTAGCATTTTAAACTGTAAGAGAGTAAACTTCTATTTGCTAAAGTCATCTACTTGTTCTATTTCTGTTTATAGTTGTTTATTATTGTTGTTTTGCACCATGGAGTTAGGACAGACTGACTCTGAGCTGACCCACCTTCCAGGGACTTTTCAGAGGCAGTAAATAGCATTGGAGGAGACTGCTCATGTTTCTTCCATGGAGCATCTGGTGAATTCAAACCACCTGCCTTTGGGTTGACAGCTCAACTTCTCACCACTAAGCCACCAAAGTTCTCTGTTTATAGCTGTTGTTATGTGAGGTCAAGAACTTACAGTGACTCCATGAGCAATGGCTCTGAATCTTGCTCTATTCTGTGTCTGACACACCTGACCCCGTTACCACAGACATTGCGTCAATCCATCTCATGCAGAGTCTTCCTCTCCTGCACTGTTCCTCCACCCTTTCAAGCATAATGTTCTTTTCCAAGGACTGGTCCCTCCTGGCAACATGCCCAAAGTATGTGAGACAGAGCTTCAAAATCCTTGCCTCTAAAGGATAACTTGGTTTCTCTTTCTCCAGGACAGACCTGTTTTGTTCTCTTAGCATCCATGGTATGGTCAACATTCTTCTCCAGCACCACAAGCCAAAGGCACTGATTCTTCTTCAATCATCCTTAGTCACTGTCCAGCTCTCAGGTGCATAGCAAGCGATGGAGAAGACCATCACCTGTATCAGGCACAACTTAGTCTCTGGACTGCCATTATTGCTCTTTAGCACTCTGGAGAGCTCCCTGACAGCAGATTTTCCCAGAGCAACTCATGTTTTGATTTCCTGATTGCTGGTGCCAAAGGTGTTGCTAGTGGATCCAAGAAAGATGAAATTGTTAATTTCAATTCTTTTCCTCCACCACCATGATGCTGCCTATTGGCCCAGTGGTGAGGATCTTTGTTTTCTTGATGTTGAGATGCAATCCATATTGAAGACTGTAGTCCTTGATCTTCTGCAGCAAATGGTTCAAGTCTTCCTCAGCTTTGGTGAGCAAGTTTGTATCATAATACAGGTTGTTGACAAGTCTTGCGTCAATGCTCATGGTACATTTTTCTGTAGCACTAGATATATGTGGACCAGGAAGCAGTCTTCAGAACAGAGCAAGGAAACACTGCATGGGTTCAAAATCAGGAAAGGCGTGGATACAGGACGAATCCTGTTTCCATACCTTTTTTAGTCTGTATACAGAAGAGGTCATTTGGGAGGCTGGGCTTTATGAGGAGGAATGTCGCATCAGGATTGGAGCAAGACTCATAATAACAACAAAAACATTATACAGATGACACACCTTGCTTGCTGAAACTGAGGAGGACCTGAAGTGCTTGCTGCAGAAGGTCAAGGACTGTAATCTTCAATATAGATTGAAGCTCAACATCAAGAAGACAAAGATTCTCACCCCTGGGCCAGTTGGCAGCACCATGATGGATGGAGATGGGATTGAGGTTGTTAATAGCTTGCTCGGCTCCACAATCAGCACTTTTGGCACCAGCAGTCAGGAAATCAAAAGGTGAATTCCATGCAGTAAATCTGCTGTCAGGGACCTTTCCAGAGTACTAAGAAACAATGATGTTAGTCTAGGGACTAAGGTGCACTTGATCCAGGCTGTGGTCTTTGAAATTACTTGCTATGCATCAGAGAGCTGGACAATAACTAAGGATGACAGAAGATGAATTGATGCCTTTGAGTTGTGGTGCTGGAAAAAGTCTTAACATACCATGGACTGCCAAGAAAACAAATAGGTCTGTTTTGGATAGGCTGAAACCATGTTTCTCACTGGAGGCTAGGATTGTGAAGCTCTATCTCACATACTTTGGGGTACAAGGCCAGAAGGGAACCATCTTTGGGCAAGGATATCATGCACAGAAGAGTGGAGGGATGGTGCAAGAGGAAGACCCTGGATGAGCTAGATTGATATAGTAACTGGGGCAGTGAGGGTAGGTGTGCTGGAGTTACTGAGACTGACTCAGGACAGGGCAGGGTTTAGAGCTGTTATACAGAGTGTCACTGTGAGTCACATGCAACTTGAAGGCACATAACAACAACAAAAACAACAGATAAATAAGACAGCACTGAAATGTATTTATTTATTTTTTTCAAATTTTGCATTGTCTTCCTCGAGAGGACTAGTTCCCAAAGCATGGGAACCATGAGGTGTTGATATGAGACAATGGCAGATGGTCTACGGCCATACTATCCTGAACACACCTGATCCCGTCTGATCTCGGAAACTAAGCAGGGTTGGGCCAGGTTAGTACTTGGATGGGAGACAATGTCAGATGGTGCTTTGACATAGACTAAGAGAAACCTGACTTCCTAGTGGGAAAATTATTCCCCTTTCAGTCCTTCGGTTTCTTCTCTCAAGGAGGAAGTCTCCCTGAGAGCTGCGCTATCTATAACATGTTCCTAATCCTCGATAATCTCCTCTTTAACACATTTCCCAGCTGCAATGACTTTCAGCATTGTTTCATTGTACCAACTTTTGGCAGATGCCTTTTATTTATAGTGCATAGTCTTTTTTTTTTTAATTTACAGGCTTTTTTTCCCTTTATGTAAACATGATTAGACAAAAAGTGAGTTAATTTCAAGAAATACATGAAGCAAATAATAACAAAGGTACTACATACAGATTATTAAAAGATTCTAACATGGATGGTCAAGACTTGAGAAATTTAACACTCAGAGCAAGCAAATGCTATTCCCGTTCTGGGCATAAGGATACTGGCTGGGAAATCTGAATTCAGGACACATAGCGATGCATTTAACACCTTACAATGAGAAGCTGTCAACTGAACCTTTCTGGACATAAGGGCAAAAGGAGTCCTCACCTAAGGTTCACCAGCCCCCTTAGTTACAGGAGGATTTGTGCTACCATGACTCACGTCCCCATCTTTGCCAGAAGCACCTTCTTCCCCGTGTATTTGCTATCCAGATCTCCCTTCCTTACTTTGGTCAAAAGCCTTTGAGACATTGAGACAATCTGATTGGCAAGCTCAGGCCCATTCCTTCTTTGATTGGATAAAACTTCTATGTCAAGCTACCTCATAGGCGGTTGATCAGCCTATGGATTGACTTGCCAGGCAGGCGCCCAATCAGCTCTGAGCAGGCACTGAGCCTTGAGATTCTGAATGGAATCGGGTCCTTCTGGTCTTGCCCTCCATAGGAAGTTTGTGATAGACATCAAGGTGTGACTAGTGCAGGAGCAGAGAGGAGAGAAAAAGAACGGGGGAGAGAGTCTCTAGAAGGAAGAGGCCATCGATGTGGGGAAGATGCCTGGAGTGAGCTGCCTGATCCAAGAGGGTGAGGGACTCAGCAAGCTTTGACCTCAGAAGGTCCCAGGTGTCAGGAGGAGCTTATGTGAGGCATGATGGGAACGAAGGTAGCCAAGGTACAGAAAATAAAATGCTGCCACATGACTCATCGAGGTGCACAGTCCGGCCACCATCCATGCCTCCGTTTGCCATACTGTGCTGACTTGTGGTTTGCTGTGACACAGGATGCTGTATAGCCAGTCTTTTCATACACCAGTATCATGGTCAGGCACTATAGGCATGATTCATCAGGACTTCTGGGCTAAAACAGCCTAGAGTGAAAGATCTGGTGATTTACTGAAAAACCAGTCAGTGAATCCCAGTGAATCATAACAGATGCTGTCTGACATAATGCTGGACCCCAGAGGGAAAGACCGATAGTGAGAGGAGGATGTTATGCCCGGTAAAGCGGAGGACCCGTGAGAGCCAGGGAAACCCTCAATGAGTTGGATTAAATAGCCAAAGAATTGTGCTAAATTAAACAGCATTAAGGGCCACCCAGCAGTCTCAAAGATAGTGCAAAATTGGGCAGTATTTCCTTTTATTGTGCCCAAGAGTTCAATGACAGCTAATGACGGCATACAATCAGGTTTCTGGTGCAGTGAAAAGATGATGAGACTTTACCTTCATGGAGCTGCCAGTCTGTGGGCCGGGTGTGCAGCTCCTGGGCCACAGAGGAAAACTTCTCTAGGGGAGTGTGGAGTGGAGGGGACAGGGACCCAGAACAGTACAGCTCAGCTCAGCACATTGGGGTGAGGATAGTTCCTGGCTTGAGGATCGAGACCAGGAAGCAGCAGTTCAGGCTTGAAGAGAAGGGTCTGAGGGGGTGGGGCCAGGCTGTTCAGGCAGAGTGAGCCGGGTCCTGTTTTGGGAGCTCTTGGAGGGACAGGTAGGCATCAGTGCTCAGGGCTGCGCAGGAGGAGAGGACCCTGGCTGGACTCTCCCCAGGAAAACTGGTCCAGGGGCATCTGGCCCCTGGCCCACAACTGGCCATGGAGACTTCCTGTCCAGTTTTATCCATTTCCAGCTGCAGGGACTGGTCAGCCACTGGACTGGGGACTTCCAGGGTGGGAGGGTCAAGGGGTCTGGAGTCTGAATCTCCAGAAACTGCCTCTTGTGGGAAGGAGGGAAGCCTCTCTGGCCTGGCCCCACTGCCCCTGAGGGCCATGTTTTGGGGGGCCGGGCCAGCATGGAGACTAGGAGAGAAGAACAGCTGGTCATCCCCCGGGGGGAAGGTGCAATAGGCATCGTCATCTCCTGGCGGAGGGGGAAGGGCTGGCACAGGGGACCCCGCAGGTGCCCCTGGCCTGCCCTCGTCAGGCTCCTCGGCGCAGGGGTCATAGGTGAAGTACACCTGGCAGGCCTCGATCTCCAGGGCGTCCGGGAGGTGGAAGAAGAAGTAGCCCTGGTTGGTGAAGCAGCTGGTTTGTGAGTGGCTACTGGGCGAGGACACGGGCTCTTTGTCCTGCGACTGCAGAAGCAGTTGTGTGGCCTTGGTGTCCCTGTCCAGCACCTCCAGGGGGGAGATTTCAGGTGCGGGGCCACTGGGGCTGAAGGAGGACGACGGGAAGGGCGAGGAGAGCCACTTCTGCAGGGAGAGAGGAGGGTGAGCAAGCGCCTGTCTGCCCTCACCCCCAAACTTATAGCAGCAACTTCTTCCCTCCTTCAACCTGGAGAGCCCCCTGCTCTGATCCTCGGCACAGGCCTTCCCTACTACTATAAGTGCCGCGGAAATGAGCAGCTGTTAGCTGAGAACCTACTGCCGGTCACTGGGTGGGGCAAACAATCCCAAAGGTTGAGAGTTCAAACCCACCCAGAGGTGCCTCAGAAGACAGGCCTACAGATCACTTTTCACACATAGAGTCCCCAAGAGTCAGAATCGACTTCCCAGTGACTAGTAACTCCTTCAAGCCTGGCCTTATCCTCAGCACCGGGACAAGCCAAGAACAGATCCACAGCTCAAGTGGCCGCTGGGGGACAGTGTGGGTTTAGCGAGCTGAGCAGAAAGAAGGCATTGGGCAGCTTGCTCGGACCCTTGCTTACAGACACCTGCTGAGGGCTGTGCCTGGCCCCGACTGGCAAGCTAGACCACACATGACCCTCTTGCTCCCACTGGAGGGCAGACATGGGGAGCAGGTCTGATATCTGCCTCCCACACACACTGCTCCACACCACACATGGGAGAGTGCCCATCAGACCACAGCCCAATTGCTGGCGAGTCTAGAACCCCGACCAGGAGAGCAGAGGTGGGTGTCCAGCTCTTCCCTCACCATGTGGGCCTGCACAGATCACTGCCCCTTTCTGAGCCTCAGTGTCCATATTGAGCTTTCCTGACTTTCTCCCTGCTATACACCTGCCAGTGGGGAGATATCAGATGAGAAAACAGAGACAAATGCAATGACGTGGCAGAGGAGCTGCGGACAGTAGACCCCACAGGATGCTGGGAAGGGGGCTTTGGTGAGTGAGCCAGGATCCCAGTAGGTCCTGTGTCATGGGATCCTTTGTCTGCTGGACTGTGACCCTGAGCACGGAGATCAGGCCTGATGGGACCCCCTATGGCATTAGCATAATTGTGGAGAAATCACGAGTTGGCACAGATGCCTGGTTCCCTCTCCCTGGGGCTGAGCCTCTCCATACGCATGCCCACATGCATGTGCACGTTCTCTCTAAATAATCCCAGAAACCAGGGGTTTGTGTTGCCAGAGAAAGGATAGGAAGAGGCACAGAAAGTATTAACAGAGGGCAGTACAGAGGGGTAGAAGGCCCAGAAGATGAGCAAAGTGTGGCGAGGTTTACAGAACCAGCGGAGGCAGAGAAGACAGGTGAGGTGGCCAGAAGACCACACCCAGGGCTGTGGGCAGGACAAGCATGGGCCTCGGACCACACTGCCCTGAGGCAAGTGACAAGTGGAGGCTGGGCAACTCCTTCTAGAAGGTGCTCCCAGAGCACCTGTTAGAAGTAGCTGTTGTTAGGTGCCATTGAGTTGAGTTGGACTCATAGTGACTCTATAAGCAACAGATCTGAACCCTGTCCTATCCTGAGCCAACCTCATCATCTCTGACCCACTTGAGCCAGTCACTGAGTCACACATCTCATCGAGGGTCTTCCTCTCTTTCATCAACCCTCCACCTTTCTAAGCATGATGTCCCTCTCTGAAGAATAGCCTTTTTTACCAACATGCCCAAAGTATGTGCCTGTTGTTATTATTATATGCATTAAAGCTGACTTCAACTCATAGCAACCCTATGCACAATAGTTTTGAACCCCTCTCTGTTGTTGTTGTTGTTGTTGTTGTTGTTATTGTTATGTGTCATTGAGTCACCTGTGACTCATAGCAAGCCTATGTACAGCAGCTCTGAACCCTTCCCTGTCCTGACCCAGTCTCACTGACTCTGACAACACCTATCCCCATTGCCCCAGTTACTGTATCAATCCATCTCATCCGGGGTCTCTCTCTTCTGTGCTGTCTGTCCCTCCACTCTTCCAAGCGTGATTTCCTTCTCCAGAGACTGGTCTCTCCTGGCCACGTGCCCAAAATACGTGAGACAGTGCTTCAAAATCCTTGCCTCCAAAGAGCAACTTGATTTTACTCTCTCCAATACAAACTTGTTTGTTCTCTTGGCAGCCCATGGGATGTTCAATACTCTCCTCCAGCACCACAACTCAAAGGCATCAGTTCTTTTGTCATCCTTATTCAATGCCTAACTGTCTGATACATAGCAAGGCAATGATATCTCTAGTGCCAAGGCCTCTTCTAAACCTACTTTATATTTCTGGCAGTTCTCTTCAGCAGGATTTTGCTTGCATGTGATATAATTCTGTAATTTCCTCACTCTCTTGGGTCACCTCTTTTGGGAATGGGAATAAATATGGATCTTGTCTAGTCAATTGGCCAGGTAGTTGTTCTCCAGATTTCTTGGCACAAGCTGGTGAACATGTCCAGGGCTGCATCTGTTTGCTGAAATATGTTAATTGGTATTCCATTAATTCCTGGGGCCTTTTTTTTTTTTTTGCTTACTTCAAAGCAGCTTGAACTTCCTGCTTCATCATCATTGTTTCTTGGTCATATGTTGTTCCATGAAATTTTTCTGTGTCAGCCAATTTTTCTGATACAATGACTCTGTACTCCTTCCATTTCCTTTTGATGCTTCCCAGATCATTCCATACTCTGCTCATAGCATCTTTAAGTATTGCAACTCAAAGCTTAAATTTATTCTCCAATTCCTTGAAAACTTGAGAAATGTCAGGAAAGTTTGTCTCTTTTGATTCTCTAACTCCAGCTCTTTGCACATTTTGTTATAATACTTTGCTTTGTTTTCCCAAGCTGCCCTTTGAAATCTTCTGTTCAGCTCTTTAACTTCCTAATTTTTCCCTTTGTCTTCTCAGTACTCTAGTGCAGTCTTCAGAGTCTCTTCTGACATCCATCTCTGTTTTTAATTCTTCCTCTGTCTTTGTAAATGACCTTTTGCATTCTTCGTGGGTGATATTCTCAATATACTCCCCCAGCTCATCTGGTCTTATTTTACTAGTGTTCAAGACCTCAGACCTGTTCTTGAGATGGTTTTCAAATTCAAGTGGGATAGAGTCAAGGTCAAATTTTGGTTCTTGTGGATTTGTTTTAATTTTATTTAATTTCAGTTTCTACTTGCACATGAGTAGTTGATGATCTGTTCCTCAGTCAGCATCTGGCCTAGTTTTCACAGCTGGTATTGTGCTTCTCCAATTATTCTTTTACAGATGTAATCAATCTGATTCCTGTGTAGTCTGTCAGGTGAAGTCCATATCCATAGTCACTCTTTGTGTTTCTTATAAAAGGTATTTGCAATGAATAAATAAATCATTGATTGTACAAAATTCTATCAGTCTCTTTCCATCCTCATTTCTGTCACCAAGTCCATATTTACCCAACTATTGATCCTTCTTACTGATTTTGTATTCCAATTACCAATCTTTACTAATGAATCTTGGTTGCATATTCACTCAATTTCCAGCTGCAAAAGTTGGTGGAAATCTTCCATTTCCTCTTCTTTGGTCCTGTTGTTTATGCCTATCTTTGAATGATAGTGGTATTAACAGGTATTCTTTGTGTGTATATGGATGTCATACTGTCACTCACAATATTATATTTCACGCTGGATCTAGAAATGGTCTTTTTTACTCTGACTGTGACCCTATTTTCCTCAACTTTTTGTTTCCAGTGTAATAGATTGTAAGATTTTTTTTTATTCAAAATGTCCCATGCCAATCCATATCAGCTTACCAATGCCTAGTATGTCAATATATTTGCACTCCATTTCTTCCTTAACAGTGTCCAATTTTCCTACATTCATACTTCTCCCATTCCACATTCCAATCACTAGTGTCTGCTCACAACTGTTCCTCCTCTTTGTGTTTCCCAGTATGAGGGGGCTCAGCCTCTGGTGCTGTATCTGTTAGTCTTATCTAAGTGTCCTAATCACATACATGATGTTGTTGTTGTTGTTGTTGTTATGTGCTGTCCAGTTGCCTGCGACTCATAGCAACCCTATGTACAATAGCCCTAAACTCTGTCCTATCCTTTGCCAATCTCACTATCTCCAATACACCTACCCCCATTACCCCAGTCCCTGAATCAATCTATCTCATTGAGGATCTTCCTCTCCTGCACTGTCCCTCCACCCTCCCAAGCATGATGTCCCTCTACAGGGACTGGTCCCTCCTTGCAACATGTCCAAAATATGTCCGATGAAGCTTCAGAATCCTTGCCTCCAAGGAGAAGCCCAGCTTTACTCTCTCCAGAACAAATCTGTTCGTTTTCTTAGCAATCCATTGTATATTCAATACTCTTCCCCAACACCACGGCTCAAAAGCATCAATTCTCCTTCTATCATCCCTAGTCATTGTCCAACTCTCTGATGCATAGCAAGTGATTGCAAAGACCATGGCATGTATCAGGCGCACCTTAGTCTCCAGACTGACATCTTTTTACTTCAGCACTTTAGAGAGGTTTCTAATGTAGACTTTCCCATCGCAATACGTCTTTTAATTTCCCGGCTGCTGGTGCCAAGAGTGCTGACTGTGGAGCCAAGCAAACCAAAACTGTGAACAATCTCAGACTCTTCACCATCCGTCATGATGCTGCCAATCGACCCAGTGGTAAGAATCTTTGTTTTCTTGACATTGAGCCTCAATCCATACTGAAGGTTGCAGTCCCTGACCTTCCTCAGCAAGCACTTCAGGTCCTCCTCACTTGTTTAAAACCTGATGAACAAGTACGTGACTCGACCCTCCTTAATGTCCGAGATCAGTTAGGGAGCTGCCCTGGAATTTTGGCAGGGGAAGGGGCTACACTAACCCCACTAGCATCACCAGAGCCTGCACTGTTCTCCAGGGAATGTCCTGAGGGAAAGACATAAGCTAATTCTTTCTCCCCCACTTTACAGGTGAGAAGGCCGAGGCACAGAGAGGTTCTACAGTTTGTCCAAGGTTACATAGCCAGGGAAGTGGTAGAGCTGGTATTAGAACCCAAGCAGTAGGCTCAGCTGAGAGTTGCAAGGCAGCCCGAGAGCTCTGGTGTCAAAGCTGGGGGAGGGGGCCCACAACCACCCTGGAGACTGTCCTCTACTTCTGCACAGCTTCTTGCATGAAGCCCACACTCCTGCAACACCCCCACCAAGTCTCTGCACAGTGGACCACCTGAGTCAGGAGCCCACGGCTGTCCACCCTCAAGACTCCTACCTTGAAGTCTCCTCCATGCTCTGAGCTCAGCTTGGAAAAGAACTCTGAGGGGTCTGGGATGTGGCACTTCAGAACCTCCTTCAGCCTGGATGAGGGAGGGAGGAAGAAGCGGTGAGGGGGGGCATGCATTCATTTTGCTGATATTGAGAGAGTGGGTGCTGGGTGCTAGGGACCCAAGAATGACTGAAGCTGAAGGTTCCCGCTTACAAGGGAGCTGGCATTCCAGTGCGGAGAGAGACACGAGCAAGTGAGTGAGGGCCAGGGTCAGATGCTGTGCAAGACGAGGATGGCAGAGGGCCCAGGGGACCACGCGGACCACCGAGGTCAGAGATGAGATGGCTAGTGCAGGGAGAGTCAGGAGGAGGGAAGTCAGAATGTGGACTTGCTATAGGTAGGTCTACCAGGGATGGATGTTCAGGCCGTGCACTGCCCAAGGGTGGTGAATTTCAGCCTGTATCATCTTGCTAAGCTAAAGGGCCCAGGCACCCCGATACTTCTGCTGGGGGAAGGGGCATCAATTTCTGATTTGCACAAAAGTTTTAAATGGCTAATGACTTCCCCTAAGAGTTAAGGTACATTGAGTGCAGCAGTTTTAAATAGGAGAGAAACAGGGCAGACGGGAGAACAGGTTAAAGGAACAAGAGTGGCGATAGGGACACCAGGGAGGAGGCCACTGCAGTGGTCCAGATAAGAGAATGACGTGATCCTGCTTGGGAACAAGGGCCTTCACCAGGGAGCTGGTTTCCCCACTACCTGCTATCATGGAGATGGGGGTGAAAGTGGGTGGAGAAATGCCTAATGGATGAGGCTTGGGGTCCTGAACTGCACTGGGGCAGGGTGGGAGAGGAGAGCGGCCTTCCAACTTCACCCACACTGGCTGTATGATTTGGGGTGGGGCCCAGTCCAGACAAGAATCAATAGGAAAACAGCAGCCTTTGAAGTCCTGAGAGGAGGCAGGTGGCATATTTGCAAACTGTAAAGTGCTGTCCCTCCATTAAGAGAATCAGGACACACACACACACACACACACACACACACACACACACAGCTCCTCGAAACTCCCCAGAGCAGCAACTTGGCTCCAACTCAACCCAGCTCCATCATTTATTACCTGCGTGACCTGGAGCAAGTTACTTAACCTCTCTGTGCCCCTCAGCTAGAACGTGGACCACTGGACTAAAAGCACCGGTGAGGTGTACAAAGTGCCCACAACAGTGCTCCACCCCCTCTGATGAGGCACAGGGTCCTTACACGTCACATTCTTCCTTCCCCTCCTGGGCCTGCCTGCAGTCCAGCGCCAACCGTTACCAGGTGGCCAGGTCCCGCAGAGTCCAGCCTGAAGTCAGCCCTCTACCCCAGCCTCCCTTCGTCCCCAGAACTGCTCATTCCAGCACATCTGGACCTTCGGGCAGCCTGTGCCCTCTTCCTGGACTGCTCTCCCCATCCAACTCCTCTGCCTGGCCAGCTTCTGCACCCTCTGATCTCAACAGACACACCACTTTCTGGGCGGGTCCTCTCCATGTGCTCCCTCTGTACCTGGCCCCCTCCTTCCCATCCTAACCACGTTGTGCCTGGCATACACAGTGGGATTTCTCACATCTGCCCCTCGTAGTGGACAGTGAACTGCCTGAGGATGGTGACAACCAATGTGGCCCCAGCACCTCACCCAAGCGCAGGAATGGATGGGTGTGCGGACCTACCCAGACCCCGAGGACATGGCTGTGAACTTGTGCGTGCATCCATAGACACTCACGCTCACATCTTGAGCGAGGTGCTGTGGGCAGGGTCCCCCATGGGATTCCACCTCCCCATACCGCTCCTCGGCTGGCTCTGTGACCTGGGGGACCATAGACAGAGGAGCATAGGAGGAGGCCAGTTGGGGAGGACTCCCTGGCAAGTGGGACCTCCACGCCTCACCCTGCACCCGGCTCTGAGCTGCTCTCTGCAGATACAGACATGGATGCGCGTGGTCGTGACACGGGAGCATGAAGGACGGAGAGAAACCCTTCTTACCACGGCTCGATGTAGCGGCAGTTGGCCAACAGGTAAACCAAGATGGCAAAGGCAATGGCTCCGCTGAGGGCCACGATGGTGTGGCCCAACCAAGAAAAAGGCGAGGACTTTCCTGGGGCTGCCAGGGTAGAAGCGGAATCAGGGAGAGGCGTTTAAACAGTTGTCCCCCATTCACCCGGATCCTGTCACTCCCTCCACTCCCTGCACCCCAGCCTGGTGCTGGCTACAGGCCCCAAGGGCACGCCCAGGCCAGCACCCCCCTTCCATCCCAGCCCCGTCACCACCTGTGCCCACCCATACCTCCAGGCTTCGTCCTGAAGGGCAGCGGCTGGCTCCAGGGGCTCCAGGTGGTGTTCTGGCCTCGCCGAGCTGTGGCTCTGACTTGAAGCTCATAGGCTGTGTCGGGGGTTAAAGTCTCGAGGACAAGCCACCACTGGTTCTGCTTGATGGACAGCATGCTGCTCCCCTGGGGCAGAGGAGAGGTGAGGAGCTGAGGGGCTCCTTGCCACCCCACCCTCCTGCCTGGCAGCGCAGAGCACAGCAGACCTGCCCCTTCGGTTTCTAAGGCAGAGATTTTCATGGAAGCCAACTGCTGCATCGTTTGTTCAATGCAGTACTTGGTGGGTTCAAACCTCTGACCTTTAGGTGAGTAGCTAAACATCTAACTGCTGTGCAACCAGGGCTCCTTCCTGTCACGTCTTTAGAGCACCGGCGGTATCCCCAACTCTTTTGTTTCTGGGTTTACTGACCGTCTACTCTCACCCGTGTGAGTTTTCTAAGGGCATGAACCATCCTCTCCCCAGCCTCGAGCACAGAGCAGGCACTCAGTAATTATTTGTGAGATGAATGAATGAGTGATCGAATAAAGGAAGAGTGAGTGGATGACTGTGTCCTGAGGAATCCTGGGGGCCTGGACCTGCTGGGTGTGAAGGGTGGGAGGGTGGCTTCCCAGAAACTCTGAACTCCCCTGAGTGGGCACTTGTCTGCCTCTTTGGCATGGAAACCTTGCCCTGTGCCAGCCCAGATCTGCCCCACACGGACCCACTGGGTCATGGTGGGATGTGGATGTCTAGATCTACCCCCCACATGGACCCACTGGGTCACAGTGGGATGCCTGGATCTGCTCCACACGGACCCACTGGGTCATGGTGGGATGTGGATGTCCGGATCTGTCCCACATGGACCCACTGGGTCACAGTAGGATGTGGATGCCCGGATCTGCCACACACAGACCCACTGGGTCCCGGTGGGATGTGGACAGGGGAGGTATGACCAGGCCTCACAGGACCCACCTAGCCGGTGGCGTGGCTTTTCTGAGAGGAAGATGGACAATGCAGTGACTGAGGCATGGACCAGGAGGAGAAGGAAGACTCAGGACAGATGGGACCTGAGCCATGTACTCACCTCCCAGCTGTGATCGGAGAGCCGGAACCGGGCCTCAAATTCCAGGTAATGTTCAAGGTAGTGTGAGGCCTGGGGGAGGATCCAGGTGACGTTGCACCTGTGGGCCTCTACATGGACAACTTGGAGGGAGTTAGGGGCCATCAGACGCACTGGAGGCGGGAGAGAGAGAAGAGCAAGTACCAGACGTGCTGAATCATGATTTTGAGATGACAGAGCCTGCACCTGTCACCACCTCCACCTTGGACCTGCTCCTTCTCCCAGGGACCCCTGAGGTCTGGCTCTTTCCTTCCTCCTGACTCAGCTCAAATGAATTCTCTGTCTTCCTCACCAGATGGTGAGCTCAAGGAAACACGGATTCTGCCCTCTGAGGCCTCCTCAGGGCCTGGAGCCAATAGCAGACACTCAGTTCAAAAGCTTTTGAACGAATGAATCAACGTGCCCTTTCTCTGCACTCAAAACTGATCCAATTTTTCATATATTGTTTCATTTCTTTTCTAGTTGATGACAATAACTGACTACAAGAGTCTATGATTTGTGATGTTAAATTAAGCTAAGTTTCTCTCATTCTGAGACATTAGACCAAAACCCAAACAAGTACCCGCCCTCTAGTCAATGCGGACCCGGAACTGGGTTTCCAGGACTTCCAGTCTCTGTGGGAGAGGTCTGCCTCTGTCTCTTCCATGACTGGCTGCTAGATTTGAACCACTGACCTTTTGGTTAGCAATTCAACACATAATTTACTACGCCACCAGGGCTCCTTCTGCGTGTCTGCAGAATTATGCAAATAATAAGCAAATGTTTATTGATCATGGATTCTAAGCAGTTTATGCTCACAGACAACCCACAACAACTCTGTGTGGTAGATAACTGATTTCTTCTTCCTTTTACAGATGGGAAAACTGAGTCTCGGACGTGCTAAGTGATCTTCCCATAACACACACCTGGTCAAACCTGGGCTAGGCTTTGAACCTCACAGAAGCCTCACCCTCTGCCCTACCCCTTTTCTACAGATGTCCCCCAAGATCATCCAAGGTCAGGCAATGGACTGTGGGGAGCAGTGGGAGGGAGGGGGTGTGAGTTAAGAAAAGAGAGAGACACCATGCAGGGGGCAGTCAGGCTTTGTTATTCTACAAACCTTCCCAGAGTGCTGCCTGGATCAGGCCTGTGCTGGATGACAAAAGATGGCAGGGACCCTGCCCTTTAGGACACAGGCCAATGCGGGAGACAGACCTGTAACCAGGCAGTGATGACCAGGAGGTACAAAGGGACGGGGAGTCTGAGAAGGCCTCCTGGACGCGGTGGCCCATCACTCAGCTTGAAAACGCAGTTTGACTTTTCTTAGGCAGCAGGACTAGAACATGCAAAGACTCAGAGGCATGTTGGCTGAGGCGGGGACGCAGGCTGCAGGAGGGCAAGTGTAATACACCAGACTGGAGAAGAGGTCAAGGCTGATGCTGATGACCTTGAATACCCTGAGGACAAGTATCTGGATTTCAACTAGGTCAGCAGGCCGTGAGCTGGTCAGATGTGGATGTGGGGGAAGAGACTGCAGCAGAGGGGAATCTCCCAGCGGAATACAGGGAACAGGGCCCCCCCCTCCCCACGTTGCCCCACCCTGAAGGCCTCACTCACGGTTCTCAAAGGGCTTGAAATCTTGGCTTGTCACCAGCCTCCTCTTCTCCCCTTCTTGGCATACCATACTTATGTTGACATTGTCACTCGCGGTCAGTTTCTGAGACTGCAAGAGAAGGGGGACAGGGCTGTGGTCACCAGCAGTAGGAGAAGGTGCTCTGGAGAAGCAAGACGATTTGGGGATGAGGACAAAGCGGGGACAAGGGAGGGGTAGAACCCAAGAGCTGCAGCAAAGAGGGAGCTTTCTACGTGTCCCACCGTCTAACGCAGGGATTGGGGCAGCAAACTTTGGTAAATTTTTCTTTTCCTTTTGTGGGATGTATGGTCTCTGTCCCAGTTATTCAACAATGCCTTTATAGCTTGATGGCAACTAAGACCACACACAAATGATTGTGGATGTGTTCCAACAAAACTTTATTTATAGAAGCAGCCAGAGGGCCATAGTTTGCTAACCCCTGGTCTAAATTGATGTGAACTGCCTTGGTAGATAGTGAGTTCCCCATCACAAGAGGTAAGCAAGATTCACGCACATACACACAAGATGCAACACCCTTGGGCTGACTACTGGCTCTGGGTGGTGCCCACCATTTTCTTTCTCTTCCTTGGTTCACACAGCCCCAGGGTGCTGTTTGTCAGGCCCAGCTCCCATGACCTCCAGACCTCCCTGAGGTGTCAACCTTAGCTGGGTGACACGTCCGCCCTGCACCCACATACACCCTTTCCCTTGAGCTGTAAGATACCCCTCCACCCATGCCTACCCTCCCTTCCTCAGCTCAGCTACTTACATCATAATCTCCAAGGATCAGGTTGCAGGCCCAGGACCCCAGGCTCGTGGGGAGCAGCTTACAGGTTTTGTTCCATGTCCTTTTAAGAACAGAGAACTTCCTCAGAAGGGGAGAAGGCCCCCCCAGGGCTGACCCTGGGGCCCTTCTCAGGTCCCCTTGCCCTTTAGAGCTATGGTGGCAGCTGCCCCTCCATCCTGGGCAACAAGGTTGATTTGCAACAAGGCCTCTGGGCCAGTTCGGTGCCCATCCCACAACACTCCTCCCACCCCAGCCAGCCGAGGCCTGTGGAGCACTCCCCACTCTGCAGCAAAGGGACCTCCTCAAACCCACATGAGACAGTGTAAGATAAGTGTCACTGTCTGTGCAAAGACCCCTGACGTCTTCCCATGTGACCGACAGTGAACACCCCAAAACCCAAATCCAAAGACATTGAGAGGATGCTGACCCACAGCACCCCTGCAGGATGGGGTGGAATGCCCCAGAGGGTTTCAAAGGCTGGAATCTGGATGGCAGCAGACAGACTGCCACTGGTGGGTTCCAACCACCAAACTTCTGTTCAGTAGCTAAGCTGCCATGCTTCATTTGGCCTCCGGAGTTCCACTCCCACCCCGGGAGCCAGGACAGAGATGGAGGCTACCTTCACCTCCTCCCACTGCCCTCTGCACCCCCATCCCATCAGTCCACAAGCCAAGGAGTCCAACTCTGCCTCAGGGACTTTTCTTCACCTACCATCTGCATGACTAAACCCCAACGCCCCACTGTACCCCCAGCAACTCCCTCCTAGGTCCCCATTCCCACAACTGTGCTAGGGGGTCTCTCAAAAGTCCAGTTTACTAAAAATGCCTAAAAACGCATTGCCATCAAGTGAGAAATGACTCCTAGCTGAACCTTCAGTGGGTTTTCAGAAGCTATAAACCACACGGTGTCTCCCTGGAGACTAAGGTGCGTCTGATACAGGCCATGGCCTTTGCAATCACTTGTTATGCATCAGAGAGTTGGACAATGACCAGGGAGGATAGAAGGAGAATTGACACCTTTGAGCTGTGGTGCTGGAGAAGAGTATTGAGTGTACCATGGGCTGCCAAGAAAACAAACAGATTCATCCTGGAGAGGGTTAAACCAGGCTCCTCCTTGGAGGCAAAGATTCTGAGTCTTCGTCTGACATATTTAGGACATGTAAGGAGGGACAGGTCCTTGGAGAGGAACATCATGCTTGGGAGGCTGGAGGGGCAGTGCAGGAGGGGAAGACCCTTTAAGAGGTGGATTGATTCAGTGACTGGGGTAACCGGGGACAGTGTGATTGGCACAGGACAGAGCAGAATTTAGGGCTGTTGTCCGTGGGGTCGCTAAGAGTCGCAAGCAACTCAACGGCACATAACAACAACATAAACCACACAGGAGGAGCTTACCCATCTTTCTCGCCTGGAGCTTGGTGGATTCGTACTGCCCAACTTTGGGTTGATGGTGCAACTCCATACCCACTTGGCCACCAGAGCTCTCTCAAAAAGCATGAGGGTCCCTCTTGCTCCCCTAATAGCCTCTTCAGTTAATCCAGTATGGCAGGGCAGGCATATGGTCCAGTGTCCCCAAATCACTTTGCCCAGACACCTCCCTACTAACCCCAACCTGCATCTCCCTCCAGGTCACATGCCCTTAAATGAGGCCTTTATTTGAGGCCTGATTCTAAACTCTGGTGACACCAAGAGTCTGTGAGGGAGCCTGGTAGCACAATCCACAGGGAACTGTGTTGTGTACTCAAGCCTTTGGTGGTTTGAATAGACCCGTGGCTCTGAGGGAGAAAGATGGGCAATCTCTTCCCTTGCAATTTGCAGCCTCCCGAAAACCCAATACAGGTCCACCTATTAATCAATTCCAACTCAACAGCAATACGCAGAGTCTGTGGATGCTATTATTCAATATTCTCTAAGTATAGACTTTTGGAGTCTAAGACTAGGTTTCCAAGAATCTGAAAGTCAGGGCTGGTAAGATTGTGCTAAAAGAGTCCCTTGCGGTGTTAGCCTAAAAGTTGGTGCATTTTTAATCATTAATTAGCTGCCTCTGTCCTCCAGCTAATTAACTGCAGACACATGGTCTTGCAAATCACCAACAGCTGTGGAACTAGGATAAGAGAATGAGTGCTTCCCACACTGGGCAGCAAGACTTGCCGCGAGCAAGGCTTGTGGCAGTGAGACCCTGGTGAGAGCGAGACTCTGGTGGTGGAGAGACTGTGGCCCTGCTGTGGACAAACAATGGCAAGGTGTGACCAGAAACTTCTTGTATTTGACAAACCATAGTTAAAGTATTGGCTGTTCTTGCCAGACATTTGAAGGAGAAGTTGACTTATCTATTGCTCTGAGGCAAAGCTTGCTGGATGATTTGATTTGCCTGATGCACTGAAACTGGAGCCTAGACTTATTGAGCAATTGTGCCTTGGAACTGTTGGGCTAAAGCCTCGATTTGCATTGAGTGGTATTCTTTGCCGCCCCTATTCACTTCCCTAGTGATCCCCATTGTCGGTACCATGACTATGAGTCTGTGAGTTAGTCACGAATAAACAAACCTCGGCTGCTGGGATTCTCAAGGTGTCACAGGGCTGGCTACCGAGTCTTTGCTTTCTGTTCTGGGCCATTGAGGGGCTGTGCTATTCTTACTCTTTCTGGACCTTTCAGAGAGATGCTCGTAGCCCTCTGCCCCCATGGATCATTTTCTGCTTTTCAGACAGCCCTCAACAAAGTGAATTAACACAAGGACTATAACAGTGCGCTCAAGCCCACTCCAGAGATGGGGAGGCCGGACAGGACAAGGCAGGTTTCATAGCTGTTGTTCACCAGGTCATTATGAGTTCAGTTGACTCAATGGCACTTAACAAGGAACTCAGGTGGCATAGTATGTTATGTGTGTACTGTTAACCCAAAAGTCAGTGGTTCGAAGCCATCAGCTACTCTTTGGGAGACAAAAATAGACATCTTCCCACAAAGGTTTATAGCCTCAGGGCGTATAGGTTGTTAGCAGTCAAAATCCACTTGGTGGCAGTGATGAGGTCCCATCGTTGAGCGCGGAGCCCCCCTTACCTCTTATCTGATTTGGCATAAACTTGGCAGACCACACCTGGCAAAGCCCCATGCTGGCTCCAAACGCAGGAAATGTTGGCCCTCGAGTTGTAGAAGCACGAGAGTAAGGAGGTGCCTGCCAGGAAGAGGGGCATTAGAGGCTGCAGGGG